ACACACACACACAGACATACTGACACATACACTGTCAGACATACTGACACACACAGACACAGACATACTGACACATACACTGTCAGACATACTGACCGGGCCCCTGGTGGTACAAACCAAAGAAAAGAAAAAGTTACCTGCGCTCTCGCCTTAATCCCTATGTATATTTAGACAAATGGAGGTCATTTAGTTGCTCCAATGGCCATTGGAGGGAATGCCCGCCTGCCAATGTCAAGGCAGACCCCCCTAAGCTGGTCCTAACACTGACCATTCAGCCTGCTTCCTTGAGCTTCTGGCAAAGATATCTCTAATGATACAGAGAGGGGTATTCTCATATACACCCCTATATACTTATTAACCCCTAATAAGGAACACATGGGATGGGCGGCAGCATTGTAACAAGGCTGTGTGATACAAAGTAAATACAAATACAAAAAGAGAAGTCCTGCGCTCACTCCCATCACTACTGGGCCGGCAGCAACGACTACAGTACACATCAGCCCCAAGATAGAGTAAAAACCAAAGAAAAGAAAAAGTTACATGCGCTCTCTCGTTAATCCCTATGTATATTTAGACAAATGGAGGTCATTTAGTTGCTCCAATGGCCATTGGAGGGAATGCCCGCCTGCCAACGTCAAGGCAGACCCCCCTAAGCAGGTGCTAACACTGACCCTTCAGCCTGCTTCCTTGAGCTTCTGGCAAAGATATCTCTTATGAGACAGAGAGGGGTATTTCCATATATACACCCCTATATACTTATTAACCCTTAATAGAGAACACATGGGATGGGCGGCAGCATTGTAACAAGGCTGTGTGATACAAAGTAAATACAAATACAAAAAGAGAAATTCTGCGCTCACTCCAATCACTACTGGGCCGGCAGCAATGACTATAGTACACATCAGCCCCAAGATATAGTAAAAACCAAAGAAAAGAAAAAGTTACCTGCGCTCTCTCCTTAATCCCTATGTATATTTAGACAAAAGGAGGTCATTTAGTTGTTCCAGTGGCCATTGGAGGGGATGCATGGGCCACCCAGTTGGAATCCTTACAGTGTGGGGCCTGCCTAAATCGGTCGGGGAACTTTTTTTTTTTTGAGGGCAGCAGGGCCCATGGGGCAGCTGCCTTGGGCTCCCGGGAGTAACTGGGCCTGGAGCAGCTGCCCCGTGTTAAAGACGGCCCTGAGCATGTGATATATACATGTCTTTTACACACATTCCACTAATATTAATTTAATAATATGACATTTCTTCATTGGGATTCTATCCATGACTATTTAATATTATTAACATAGGTACTATTTATATATGATTAAACATAATTATAGTAAGTCTATATGGTTATAGTGAAGGGGGAACCAATAAAACTAAATACCTGAAAAAAATAAAATCATACTTACCATTAGAAGTCTTCTTTCTTCTAAATTCTTCTTTTTTCAGCCCCAAAATAGGCCAAATAAAAATCCATAATTCCCGTCGAACTTATATATATATATATATATAAAAAAAAACAAGCGCAAAATAAAAAACACGCCGTTGCTTTTAATGCGGGAGTATATTAGTCAGAAAAATCTACGGGAGACTAAAGATCCCAAACAGTGAGAGCCACTATAAAGGAAAATGGGCATTTAGGGCATGATACAGGCATGTGTAGGGTTATTTTCAAAGTACTTACCGCTCTACTCAGCCTCTTATGAACTTCAGATGTCATTATACAGTGTGCATCACTCTATGGATGCTAATCTATGCTATACAATATGTATCACTCAATGCTGTCATTGCTCCTCATGCAGGGTATTTCCTGTGCGTGATGCTGTTAGTGGGCAGGTCACTTCTTGTCCAGCCTGACACATGGATAGCAATGGCTTTACACACTCTAACTGTTCCTGCAGCCCTCAATAACCATAGAAGATTGACTGATCTACAGAAAACGCTGGTTAAGGCTCTTGGTCCTTATCTTTCTATACCACCCACCTAAGCTCAGAAAAGGCACATTATAAGTGCTGTAAATAAAAGTATACACACTGACTAGCTATAAAATGTATGCAATGTCTTCGTCGGATGCATTGCAACTGCTTTTTGCATTTTCAAATTTGCAATTGCATTTACAAGAGGATTGTTTTCACGTTAATTTTAGGGGTACAATGGAGGATAATACTAATTTAACGGTTTGCCAACGTCCCCAGAAAGTATTTAAACTTCTTGGTGCCCAAGTCACCAGGAAGTATATAAACTTCCAATTGCCACTTGCCATTGGTGAGTGAAAATTAAGTAAGTAGAATGTCACCCCTACTGAGTATAAGGCCACTACTATGCTACTAGCCATACCTTTTTCCAGGGCCGGACTGGCCCACCAGGATACCGGGAAATTTCTCGGTGTGCTGTCGGCACCTGGGTGTGCTGGCGGCCGCTGGAGGAGCTGCTCTGACGGCCGCAGGGGAAGCTGTGCTGTCTCTGCTCCCCAGCGCGCTACTGAATGAGACTGGGGCCGGAGTCATATTCCGGCCCCGGTCTCATTCAGTAGCGCGCGAGGACGGGGGAGCAGAGACAGCACAGGAAGGAACCCGTCCTGACCGCGAGCACTGACCGAGGTGAGGGGAGGCCGCGGGCGGGCGGAGAGCTAGGGTGTGGCAACCATTATTACATAGAGGAGGGGGGAGTCACAGGGCAACAGTAACTGGAGTGAATTAGGGATTTAAATATCCCTCTCTGGGCTCTGATTGGTCAGAGGGTGACCTCTGACCCCAGAACGTGAGCGTGCGTTGACGTTGTGATGTCACGCGCACGTCTGTATAAATTTGAGGGGCGGAGCTTGTTGTGTGCGACCACGTGGTCAGCGCCATCTTTGATTTGGGCACAACGCATAGAAGACGTGGAGGAGCGGTTCCTGGCTCGCCGGCGAGCAGGTAAGCTTGCAATATCGGCGAGGTCGTGCTGGTCGGGCACGGCTGCGCCATTCGGCGGGCCGGGAGCCGCAACACAAGCTAAGGCTAGTAGTTTAGCACTTCAAAATGTAAATTAGTATATTTTCATTATAGTTGTCCACTATACAGTTGCTGACTTCCTTATAGGAAGTAAAAAATAAATAAATTAGAATCCAGAGCAGCTGTTTCTGAAGAAGAGCCTATTAGGTATGAAACACATTAGTGTTCTCAGTTTGAGGGGTCCCTCTGTTTGCACGTTTCTAAAATTTTAAAATGTATTAAAATATTCTCCATTTTTAATTTTGGTTTCTTTTTTTTTAAACTTAATGTAAGGGAGACAGCAACTTATAGAGAGAGTCTGCAAGGGATGGCAAGATTAGGAATGCCCAAGAAGCCCTGTAAAAATACATGTATGACTGCTGTGATGGACAGCCTGGCACCCCGACCAGGTACCTCCAGCAATCACTGCTTCCTAGTACTTGTGAGCACCATAAGCACTGTACTGGAACACCATAACCACCGTAGACCCCACGAACCACCGCAGCTTGGTTGGGGTCCCGCTGTCCTCCACCCACATGGTGTATGGTGTTTATAAAGTTAGAAAGTTTTCTTTACTCACTGAGCAGTGAATGTTGATGATCTGGTGTAAACGCATGATTGTGTTACAAAATAAAGGGAAAAATCAGCTCACCACAGGTTATTGTCGCTACTTACTTCCCTAGAGCCTGATGTTCCCCCTGCAGATCTATTGAGGCACCAGTGGAGGTGGAGCTGTAGCAACTGTAATCACCTTGGCATGTGTCTTTACTCCCTGGGTTAGCCATGACCACAGGTATAAGCTTCACAGCATCTTCTGGACAAACACATGCACTCATGTCTGATCGCGTGGATCGCCATTTCAACCTTGAAGTCAGCACACACCATTGAGGTGGAAGTTCGCCTAACACTGTGAACCCTAATTAAACACAATACAGCTGAGCTATCTTTAATCAATTGTTCTGTGCACTGCCTGTGAACACTAAGCTACATTTAACCTATTGTTTTTCTGGTATTTGAACCAGGCCTGGCTTTGTTGTTCTAACTTATTGCTGCATGGATTTACTACCTTGCACTGTTTGACTATGCTACCTGGTTTGTCCCTTTTTGGTTTCGTTTACAATTAGAGTTGAGCGGACACCTGGATGTTCGGGTTTGCCAGGTTCGTCCGAACATCGGCAAAAATTTCGAGTTCGGCCTCAAACTTGACCCGAACTTGACCCCGAACCCCACTGAAATCAATGGGGACCCGAACTTTTGGGCACTAAAATGGCTCTAAATGGCTCTAAAAAGTCTTGGAAAGGGCTAGAGGGCTGCAAAATGAAGTAAAATGGGGGTAAGAGTAGGACAAGTGCCCTGCAAACAATTGGGGTAGGCCCCAAAATATTGAGACATATAAAAAAAGAAAACAGAGAATAAGAGGCCGATATAAATGTCTATTCTGCACAAGGTACAGACAAGTCTGGTGGGATCCATGCCTGGTTCATTTTAATAAATGTGAGCTTGTCCACGTTGGCTGTGGACAGGCGGCTGCGCTTGTCTGTGATAACGCCCCCTGCTGTGCTAAACGCACGTTCAGACAATACACTGGCTGCAGGGCAGGCCAGCACCTTCAAGGCATAAAGGGCATGCTCGGGCCATGTGCCCAATTTGGAGACCCAGAAGTTGAATGGGGCAGACCCATCAGTCAGTACGTGTAGGAGTGTGCACACGTACTGTTCCACCATGTTGCTGAAATGCTGCCTCCTGCTAAGACGTTCCATATCAGCTGGTGGTGCTGGTTATTGTGGCGTGCTGACAAAGCTTTTCCACATTTCGGCCATGCTAACCCTGCCTTCTGAGGTGCTGGTGGTGCCCCAGCTGCATTGGCGACTTCTTCCTTATCCTCTGCCTTCGCCTTGTGCTTCCACTGAGCCCCCGGTGTCAGTTGTGAATGCCCTTAGCAGCGCATCTACCAGCGTGCGCTTGTAGTCGTGCATCTTCCAATCACACTCCAGTGAGGGAATTAAGGACGGCACGTTGTCCTTGTAAAGGGGATCCAGCAGGGTGGCCACCCAGTAATCAGCACAAGTTAGAATGTGGGCAACTCAGCAGTCGTTGCGCAGGCACTTTGGTGACGCATTCGGATGTCTGCCCTATCAACTTTCGAAGGTACTTTCTGCGCTTCCATGGTGACCACAGGTAACAGGGAATCAGGATTCGATTCTGGAGAGGAAGCCCGAGAAACGGCTACCACATCCAAGGAAGGCAGCAGGCGCGCAAATTACCCACTCCCGACGTGGGGAGGTAGTGACGAAAAATAACAATACAGGACTCTTTAGAGGCCCTGTAATTGGAATGAGTACACTTTAAATCCTTTAACGAGGATCTATTGGAGGGCAAGTCTGGTGCCGAGTGACTGACACGTGCGTGCTGCAGGTGAAACTCCACTATCACCTGCTGCTGCTCGCACAGTCTCTCCAGCATGTGCAAGGTGGAGTTCCACCTTGTGGGCATGTCGCATATGAGGCGGTGAGCGGGAAGGCCAAAGTTACGCTGCAGCACAGACAGGCGAGCAGCAGTAGGGTGAGAACACCGAAAGCACACACAAACAGTCTGCACTTTCTGCAGCAGCTCTGATATATGTGGGTAGTTTTTCAGGAATTTCTGCACCACCAAATTCAGCACATGCGCCAGGCAAAGGATGTGCGTCAAACCGGCTAGGCCCAGAGCTGCTATGAGATTTCGCCCATTATCGCACACCACCAGACCGGGCTTGAGACTCAGTGGCAACAATCACTCATCGGTCTGTTGTTCCATGCCCGTCCACAGCTCCTGCGCGTTGTGGGGTTTTCCTCCCAAACAAATGAGTTTTAAAACAGCCTGCTGTCATTTCCCCCTGGCTGTGCTGAAGTTGGTGGTGAAGGTGTTACGCTGACCGGATGAGGAGGTGGTAGAGGAGGAGAAAGCGGAGTAGGAGGAGGAGGCAACAGGAGGCAAAGAGAAATGCCCCGCAATCCACAGTGGTGGAAGGACATGCGCCAAACTGCTATCCGCCTCAGGCCCAGCCGCCACTACATTTGCCCAGTGTGCAGTTAGGGAGATATAGCATCCCTGCCCGTGCTTACTGGTCCATGTATCAGTTTTTATGTGGACCTTGCCACAGATGGCGTTGCGCAGTGCACACCTGATTTTGTCTGCCAATTGGTTGTGCAGGGAAGGGATGGCTCACCTGGAAAAGTAGTGGCGGCTGGCAACCACGTACTGTGGGACAGGTTTTTTAAACTGTCCGTCTCCACCAGACGGAATAACAGCATTTCAAAGGCCAGGAATTTTGAAATGCTGGCATTCAGGGCCAGGGATCGCGGGTGGGTAGGGGTGTACTTCCTCTTTCTCTCCAGTGTTTGGGAGATGGACAGCTGAACGCTTCCATGGGACAGTGTGGAGATGCTTGGGGACGATGTCAGATGTGGTGGCGTTGCTGCCACATCCTCTGTTTGGGGGTGGCAGGTGCCTCTTGCACTCCAGAAGTGGAGGAAGAGGCCAAGACAGCAGCAGAAGAGGAAGCAGGAGGAGCCTGAGACCTTTCTTGTTTTTTGAGATGCTTACTCCACTGCAGCTCGTGCTTTGCATGTAGATGCCTGGTCATGCAGGTTGTGCTCAGGTCTAGAAGTTTATGCCTCGCTTCAGGCTCTGATTGCACAGCGTACAAACCACTCGTGTCTTGTCGTCAGCACATTGTCTGAAGAACTGCCACGCCAGGGAACTCCTTGGAGCTGTCTTTGGTGTGCTCAGCCCCTGTGTGCGGTGGGCAGTAGCAGGCGTACTGTCTAGGGGACGGCCGCTCTGCTTTTGCACCCTGCTTCCTCTTATGCTGTGCTGGTGCCTCTGTGCGACCACCGCCTCTTCCTCCAAACTGCACACGTCACTCGCATGACCTTGATTTCATGTGGGGTCTTGGACCTCATCATCCTCCACATCATCTTCCACCCACTCCTCAACCCTGCCCTCCTTGCCGGTCTGCACACTGCAGAAAGCCACAGCAGTTGGCACCTGTGTTTTGTCATCATCAGCAGAGACGTGCTGCGGTGGTCCTTATATGTCCACATCCTGAAACATAAGTGATTGTGCATCAGTGCACTCAATCTCTTCCACTTCTGGGGCAGGGCTAGGTGGATGGCCTACGAAAACCAAGCATAAAGCATAAGAGATTGCTGCATGACTTGTGGCTCAGACCGCTTGGCTGATTTGCAAGGGGTTTAGGTGAAAGACAGATAGCCATTGGCTGCAGGTGCCAACTCTGAGCTTTCAGCAGGGGACCGGGTGGGAGACAATGTGAAGGAACTGGAGGCACTGTCAGCCACCCAATCTACTATTGCCTGTACTTGTTCTGGCCTCACCATTCGTAGAGCGGCATTCGGGCCTACCAAATAACGCTGAAAGTTCTGTCGCCTACTAGCACCTGAGGAAGGTGTTTCACTTGTGCGTGTAGCTGGCACAGATCGACCATGTCCTCTCCCTGCAACAGGAGCACCACGACCAGCGCCTCGTCCCTTATTTGACGTTCTCCTCATTCTTTTCGTTCACCCACCAAACTAACAGATGGTTTATGTCAGGCGACAATGTAACTGCCAATAGTAAACAATTAAGTTCACTGACAGTAAGGCAGTGCCGGTATCCTAAAGAGAAAAAATTTCTAGAGGTCACACAACAGTGTGACAGGTGTAATTAATACAGTTACTTCACTGCCTCAAAAAAGTGTGATTTTTTTAAACCAACAATGTAACAGTAGTATTTAAGGGTTTTATTGGACAGCAAGAAATGCACCGCAGGCCGCAAATGTTCTATTTAGCACAAACAAGTGTGATTTTTTTAAACCAACAATGTAACAGTAGTATTTAAGGGTTTTATTGGACTGCAAGAAATGCACCGCAGGCCGCAAATGTACTATTTAGCACAAAAAAGTGAGATTTTTTATAAACCAACAATGTAACAGTAGTATTTAAGGGTTTTATTGGACTGCAAGAAATGCACCGCAGGCCGCAAATGTACTATTTAGCACAAAAAAGTGAGATTTTTTAAACCAACAATGTAAGAGTAGTATTTAAGGGTTTTATTGGACTGCAAGAAATGCACCGCAGTCCGCAAATGTACTATTTAGCACACAAAAAATTTTAATTTTTCAAAGTGCGATGTAACCACAGTATTTGACGGTTCTATTTGACTCTTAGATGAAGTGCATGCCCCAAATTTACTTTTTAGCACCAAAGAAATGTGAATTTTTCAAAGTGCGATGTAACCACAGTATTTAACGGTTCTATTTGACTGTCAGATATGAAGTGCACGCCCCAAATTTACTTTTTAGCACCAAAGAAATGTGAATTTTTCAAAATGCGATGTAACCACATTATTTGACGGTTCTATTTGACTCTCAGTTTTGAAGTGCACGCCCAAATTTACTTTTTAGCACCAATAAAAATGTGAATTGGTCAAACTGCGATGTAACCACAGTATTTGATGGTTCTATTTGACTCTCACATATGAAGTGCACGCCCCAAATTTACTTTTTAGCACCAAAGAAATGTGAATTTTTCAAAGTGCGATGTAACCACAGTATTTGACGGTTCTATTTGACTCTCAGATATGAAGTACACACCCCAAATTTACTTTTTAGCACCATAAAAATGTGAATTGGTCAAACTGCTATGTCACAGCAGTATTTGACGGTTGTGTTCAACTATCAGATATGAAGTGCATGCCCCAAATTTAATTTTTAGCACCCAAAAAATTTGAATTAGTCAAACTGCTATGTCACAGCAGTATTTGACGGTTCTATTTGACTCTCAGATATGAAGTGCACGCCCCAAATTTACTTTTTAGCACCAAAAAATTGTGAATTTGTCAAACTGCAATGTCACAGCAGTATTTAAAAATGCCTAGATGTTGCCCACTGAGCTACCAGAACAGGATTAAAGTAATTTGCCTGGCACACATGCAGTTGCAAGTGCCCACCTAACAAACAGACTGATTGCTTATTTCTCTGTGGCACTGGGCTCAGGGCAGTGTACAAAAATGTAGTATAGCACCCACAAAAATAATCGCTGTAGTTTGCAGATTCAACACCAGAATTCTTTCATAATCTGTCCCTCACAGCTGCAGCATCCTCTCCCTACACTAATAAGAGCTCATGTGACTCCTGCTCATATTTTTGGGCTGGGTCACATGGATAGGCATGGATGTGATGGCTTCTAACGGTACACAAGTCAAATGCTGCCCTGCAGCTTTTCAAAACGCGACATTAAATCGCTGAACACCGAACTCGAACCCGAACTGTTACTGAAATGTCCGGGTTCTGTTTTGGGGTCCAAAAATCGTAATGTTCGGTACGAACCCAAAATTTACAGTTCGGGTTCGCTCAACTCTATAGGTTCTTTTTTTTTGTAGATTGATTTTCAGCACCCTGTTGCATCTTGGATTCCCAAATACTTTTTCCCAAACCATTGACAATTACTCATATAGATTGCAGGTGTATTGTAGTATCGTAGTATTATATTATAAGAGTTTATGTGTTATTGCATTGAAAGTAAATATTTAAAGTATTTTTTTTTTTTTTTTAACTCCAATATATTTACTAAACTTCAAGTTTGGCCATTTTGTTATCTAAACGTTTATCATTTCAGTGTGGTTTAGTTCTCACAATTACAATAGTGCAGCAATTCCCTGCATTTACATATAACAACACTGACCAATCCCTATTAATTAAATTATGTCAGAATAAAAGAAGAAAAAAAAGCAGTCAGACAGCTCGAGAATTAGATGTTATCCCGATGAGCTCGGAAACTCTCAGAAATGGCCATGTAACAGCTTGGTTGTTGAGGGTTTGGATCTGTGAGAGTGTGTGATGTCCAATTCAATGTGAATTAATTACACCGCCTCACCCTATTTGCAGAATACCTGCACGTGTTGTATCCGCATAATAAAATTCTATGTCAACAAAGTAGTCATGGTGGTCAGCCAAAAATGTCACAACAAGCTGTAGCTAAAACAAATTGTCAGTCATCATTTATTTATATAAACTCCAGCTGACATTATATTGTGACACTTTAGTGCCAAGCTCACCTGCACTGTTTTATTTTACTTGCAAAATATTGTCTAGAGTAATATATTTATGGGCAATGACGCATTTGATCTAACATTGACAATGTAGCCTATTAAAACAAAAGAAAACACAATTGCCGGCAGTCAATGTTCAGACATTGTATTTTATTTTTTTTAACCTTTTTTATCTTGAGAGCTGGTTTCCAGTGGTAGATCA